AGTCAAGTGTAGCTACAACACATCGCAGTATCTCTAAATGCGTATCTGCTGCTGCTGCTGTTGTAGCTGCTGTTGTTCCCGCTGCTGCTGCTGCTTGGCGACTCACGCACGTTTCACGCTTTTTGTTGTCGCCATCGCCGCAATCGTTGGCAGCCATTTTTGCTACCGGTTTTACGCGTCAAAGTGCGCGCAACTTTTGCCGCATGCCACGACGCATATTGTTGCCGCAGCTTTTAGCTGATGTTGCAGCAATTGTTGCTGTTGTTGTTGTTGTCCTGCCAGTTGGTCAACACTTGTTGGAAACTTGCTTACTTTTGCCATTTGTTTGAGTTTCAGTTTTACTTTTGCTCTACAGAATACTATATTTTGAAGTTTGAAATTTGGTCAGCACTGGAAATCATGACGAAAACCTTATATGTTTTATATGGTCACACTTGAAATGAGCAGCTACACTAATGGAAAAATTCACAGATAAATAAAATTACATAAATTTATAAAATATACTGTATACTATGACAATAATAGGAAAGCTCAACTAACTAATCTTAAATACATTTTTTTATAGAAACACAAATGGTTTAAAGCAAAGCTATATTATACAATTGTATCCATATTCAAAATCCAGGGGTTTTTTAATTATTTTAAGAATCTTTTTATAACCAACAATATATATACATATATTTCCTTTCAATTGTCCTTAATAAGCGATGCATGTATTTCAAGTTCAAAAAGTGTTGGGTATTCATTCATTCGACTACTCATACCTTTTTATTTTCATATCTTTTTATTTTCACTCAGAAATTCCTCGCAGTTTGAGGAGGTTCTCGCTCATCTGTTTTGTGAACTGGTCGTGTATGTGACCTGCATGCCATGTGTGTCGAGTCTCACTGTGAAATTTGCTTGGCATTTCATTTAATTCGCTTTCTTTTTTCTTTGCTAAATTCATTCATATGCTTTGGGTCACATTTCTATCGTTCTAAGATTACATGGCTAAATTGCCTGGAAAACGTTTGAGAAATTTCTCTTCTTTTCCAATTAGTTGATATTTACTCTTATTTTTCTTATTAAGGCTTCAGGCAAGGATGCAGGATAATTTTACCCTCTTTCAAGGCATTTTCCGTTTACAAAGTGCTCGCCTAACAGCTTCTGGTGATGAAATGCATTAATGCAGCTGATCCTGGGACTTTGGTCTGAGTTCTTCTTCCTCTGTGGTGCGACATCATAAATCATTCATACGCAATTTTTTATATGCCACTCGATAAGTCGCTGAGCTGCTTGGCTATTTGTGCTCGATGCCAAATGCCAACTAATGCAATCCCAGCTACCCGAGTCCCACAAGCCCCACACAACTCCAAGCCCTGGATAAATTATGTTAATTCCATAGCTGGTCGTCGGTTCTATTATTTTTTCCTCTCTCTTTCTCACTCTGCCTTTCTCTCCTGCTTTTGCCTTACGATAATAGTTTGACAAATGAAGGAAAACGTACAAGTAAAAGAACTAGTTACTAGAACCAGAACATACCCTATGTTTATGAAAGTAAGGTTTATAGATTATGTTGTAAATCAACAGAGGGCTTAATAATATCATATGCTTACTTTATGGAAAGTACACCCCTTCAGTCTTTTGCAACAGGGTATCAAAAGCGCTGCTAAAGAGACAACTGAAACTGGAACACGACTTCGTCTTGCGACTTACAACTTGCACCATATAAATTGCAAAAGCGCAACAAATTGTTAAGTTTCTTTTCTCTCAACTGTTTCCCTCCTCTTTTCTGACTACGTCGTCTCAGTCACAGTCATTCGTCTCTGCGTCTTTTTGTTAATTTACATATTTTTGTGTCAGAGATGGATTTATATTTCATTTTTTAAAGCATTTTAACGAAAAGCAAAGAAGTATAAAATAAGCCGCAAAATTAAATTGTAATAACTTCCAGGCTAATTATTAATCAGGCTTACTTCAATATTATATATATTTAAAAATATTTGAATGATTTACCAAATATAACCTATAAAACATTCTGCTCACAGATCGTATTGAAAATTAAAGTTCATGACCATATTATATCAAAACCTTCATTTCAATCGCGATTTGGATAGCAATTGGTGTAATAAAGCCTAGGGCATTATCGCACACTGTTTGATATGCCACACACACGGACACACACACGGACACCCAACAGTTTGCTGCCCAGGCATTTAGCATAAATTAAATATTTGCCTTTTGCATTGAAATCCCTGTCTAAGCACAGAGAATACACCTATGCAGGTGATTCATAGGCCTCTATTGGTCCAAAAAGGGAAATCCATCAAATGAGCTGCCAACGCGTTGCACAGTCAATACAAATTGATGTTTTCACAAGAGCCTCGCTCTCCCCTTCCGATATATCGCCTCATCCCCTTGTCGAGGGTCTGTCGCTAACGTTTATTTACTTAGCGAAAAGTGCTTGCAAGAGTTGTGGAGCGGCGGGCGGTTCGGCGAAGGGGAAACGGGCTGGGCTCGTCTGGGCAGGGCAGGGCAGACTATTCGTATCTGTGAGCATTATTCAATGTTTGCTGCGAACGTGCACAAATTACAAATTCAATGCACGTAGCCAACGGCGGCGAGGCTTTAGACAAAGTTGGTAGCCGGGAGCTGGAAGATGGCAGCTTGGAGCTGCCGCCTGGCCATGTTTACGGAACGTCGCCGCCATCATCGTCGCCTCCGACCGGCAGCAGCAGCAGAAGCAGCAGCAGCAGCAGCGGCAGCAACAGCTCTCAACCAGCTGACGACACATTAAAATAATGTATTTTTAAATTTAACATTAATTGTCGCCGAATGGTTTCTGAATGGGCTGCCTTCGCCTTTTACCGTTAAAAAGTGTCTCCCTCTCTCTTTTTTTGAGGAGTGCCCAAGACATTGCCTCGTTGTCTCCTTGTTCCACTGTGCACAGTGCATTAAGTCATCGTTTTTCCTCCTTTTTTTTTTTTTGGTGGGGGGTAAGCAGTGGAAAAGATTTTCATAAATCGTTTCGGCTGGTTGTTAATGTTTTCCATCTTTTATTATACAGCCGTGCGTTGGTGAAAAATATGTTTTTATGGCTTTGCCATTTTGCATGCATTAGCGGAGTGTCTGTGGGCTTTGGGTAGGGGCCTTACCGAAGGCCTGTTTAAGTGGAAATATTTGATTGTGTTTGCACAGCACTTGCGAAATTGCGATGAGCTCGTTTGAAGACATGTTCAGAGCGCGTGTGCGCCATAGAGTTGGGAAAATATCACACTCAAATATGACAAACAATCAAAAAATTATTGAAAAAACAAACAATATCAAATATTTGTATATTTCATTCAAGAGAGAGTAGAGACTCTCAACTATGTAAGGTAAATTTTAATAATATTCAGCAATATGTAGCATAACATTAATAAAGGGTATGGATAAAGAGAACACTTTTTTATACCTGACAGATAAACCGATGCTGTGGCATCCGAACCAGGGTTCAGATTAACCCCATCACAGAGAGGCGCCTTCAAAGGTTACACCTCTGCGATCTACTTGCGAGGCGAGTCATTTAAATACCCTACACTATAAGCCTATGTTCTCAATCCCCTTCATTTTAAATATCCCATCATTGTAAATAACCCTCCATGTAAATGCCATAAAAGTTACAAGACATTGTAACTATATCCTATTTCACAGTCTTTCGTTTGGTAGAGATCAGCAGATACTGATCGATGCCAGCTTATAAATAAAATTGAATTCGAAAAAGAAAAGTCGTTTCTGTGCCTCTTTTTGTTCGACTGTTTGTCTAGCTGGTTTTTTTTTTTTGTAAACAACGTCCTGAATATTGTTAGCATTTAACATATTCTTTCAAGCAAAAGCCATAAGACAGAAGCCATTTCAGAATATGGCTTTAACAATGACCGCCCCACTCTAATTCAGCTTTACGAGTAGTTTCAGCCACTTGCTAATTCCATCAACATCGACCGCTATTATCCGTTGTTAAGCCCGTGCCCAGCCTCTCACTTTACATTCGACATTTACAACGGCCTGTTAATGTTCAATATATATGGAGAATCGTAAGTGGCCATTCAGAAGCAGTCCAGGCGAGTGCTCTCCACTTTCATTGGATTTGCCTAACAAGCCATAATCATGTGGTGCTGTATTTAATTACTGCCCAAATTCGCATTCGCATTGGAAACTACTGCGGGTGCGGGGACTGCATGTGAGCGTGTTTAGCGGTAGGCGGACATCAGCTTCAGCATCCGCAAAGCCATCTTCTCAGCTGGCGAAATTCTAATGCGCCATAATGCCAAACACAATTGAGTCATTAAGCCGCAATCTAATTAAGCCCAAAAATGTGAGCGGCTATCCACGAAAAGTAAAATACATTAAAAAAAAATCCAAAATATGTAACTCCAGAGCTGAGCAGCAAAGTGAATTTGCTTCGGTAGCTGCCCGAGATTTGTGCTCGCTGCGTGTTCTTTGACCCAAAAATTAAGCTCAAATAAAGAGTATAAAAAGGGAAATATACAGAGTACTCTGTTTTCTTCTACTTTTTTTTATGGCACTTTAACGTGACCATTTTAGCAACCATTTTGTTTTACATTTCTTGGCTAAGATTTATTTCGTGTCGGCTTTCGACCACGTAGGTCATTAAATTGCTTAGAAATCGCGGACATCAACTTTCCGGCGGCAGCACGGCCCGGTCCGTTTTTAAATGAACCACAAAATGACTGTGAAACTGGCGGCACGCACCGTCTGCTTTGAGGATACAATGGGCAAAGAACTCTTTATTTTGCACAAAAATACAAAGGGTTTCCTTGGGGAATAAGTTAACCCTATGTAATATGTGTATATAGTCATTCAGTTAATTTGAATAAGGGTTTTCGGCAAAAAAAGTTTTCAAAGAATAACTGGAAAATCCAATTATGTGGAAAGAAGAATTGAAATTTTAATTTTTTATGGCCTACAGCTCAGGTTCATTTTTCGAATAAAAGTTTGCATGTAATAATTTGTTCACATTTACTAACTTTTCATTTGAAACCTGCTCAAATTCAAGTTCTTAAATTTTGTTCAAAATGTGTAAATTGTTGACCACTGTTGCATTGCTGTTTAGGTTCGTTGGTCTTGTTTTGGGCTTTGCAGCATCGAAATAGATACAGTTAATGCCACAAAATGATGTCTAATGACGGTTTCGTCTTACATGACGAGCACCGGCGGCTGCTGCGGCTAAGACTGCGGCTCAAGCCAGAGACAGAGGCCTTTGGGCTCGGTTAGTTTGTGTATCTATTAAGTGCTGGTAATTTATAATATGCCCCAAGTGGGGTCCCAAGCTAAAGTTCAATGGTGGCAGCTCTGTCGGTCTCTCTTTCTCACTTCCTGTATCCGTATGCCGCTTGTTATTATTAATAAGCCAATGGATTGCGTACTTACCTTCAACTTTAGCCAGTGCCAAAACGGATATCGTTTGGAGTGCGGGCACCGCCCAGGCAACCAAATGGAATAAATGAGATTTATTTTCAATTGCCTCGTGGCCCCATTTGAGTCCAGCGGCCAGGAACCACGCAAAGGCCAAACACGACCACCACGCAAAGGCGGCCATACAACAGAAATACAATGCCATGAATAATACGGTGCAGGCGGTGGTCTGACGATGACCCTGCGAGAGAATAAGAGTGCCGAGAAGGATGTTGGTAAATAAAAAATGGAATTCGTTTCACCTGCTCCACCGCGGCTCGAACTTTGGCTTGACTTACCTGCGTTATGGTGGACATCATCTGCAGGCGTCCCAGCTTCACTGGCGGCGGAAATGGTTCACGGCACGACACCGAATCGCCCGCACCAAGTCCGGCCACATAGGCACAGCCGACGACCAGATAGCAAACGGCCAGAAAGACAATCGCACGCTCTGGATAACGAAAACGCGACGAGTCTATCAGGAAGGTGAGCACCTGTCCAGTTAAAAGAGAAGGCAGCAAATTAAATAAACATATTAATTATGAATTTACATTTAATTAACTTTGTAATTATATTAAAGATGCCGCGTCGCCGTTTTTCATTGCCGACTGGCTTAAAAATGCATTAGGCGGAGAGGAGGACAGCAGAAGCTGAGGATTCCGATACGGGATACGGGACACGGGACTCGAGAGTCGGGACCCGGTCATTAGGCACTACACATTAGCTGATTGTTGTGCAATTTATTTGATCTGAGCTCATTTGTAGCATGTTTCTGGCTAAGCGAGCTGGCCTTAATGAGAGTACCAGAACCGCAGAGTCCTTGGCAACCAAGCATTTAGGGCGCGACTTGCCTGCGTCTGCTGTAGTTAAGTGCCAGAGCATTATATATTTAATAATGCTAAAGGGCTCAATTTCCCATCGAGCTGAGTTGCTCGCTTGTAGCCATACGCAGTATTATGTGCACACAAACAGCTTGACAATTCGTAAGGCTTTAAAGGCAATTTCCAATTAAATGGCTTCTGGGCCTACATGACGCCACAGTCAACCACTTTGACGAGCCGCAAAGGCAACTCAATCTGCCAAAAGCCCGCCCACACAGCCCAGACAAACCAATTCAGCACATAAGCCCACATCAACTAAAACTGCAATTCCCAGACCAATCCCAAGACTCAAGCTCTGGCTTTTGCCTGCTAATTACGCACAATTTAAATGAATTCATTACCCATGGACTAAGCCTTGGCTGAGTCTTGGGTCTTTTGTCTTATGCATCTTGCTTCTTGCCGCTTACCAGCCGAGCCCAGCTCTAAGCAAAGCCATTTAATTTGATCATTACAAAACTATCAGTGGGGCTCTTGCCAAGGAGTGTGGAGCCGCAGTTGTTTCTATTGCATAATTTGCTGCTATTATTATTATTACGACCGAGAAACATTTGAATTATTCATAGATGTAACACACGACCCAATTGTCGCAAGGCGCAAGTAGACATTCGTATGGATTTACTTACTATACCATGTGTTGAACTCGTAGGGTATATGAGGTATATGAAATATATAATTTGAATTGTAACTCACATACATACCCATATACATTGGCAATTAGTTTGGCAATATATCTAGTATATTATATAGATCAACATTATTAAGGTGAAGTTGAAGTTTAAAGCAAAAGTTTAGTCAGATGAATATTCTACCTCTTTCTCTCAGGTGAATTAGAGTTTGAATAAGAGGGATCTATATCTTCCAATAAGAAGATAAGAAAAATAAAGTGTTTGTAACACCTAATTTTAAATCCTTTCATGAAATCTTTGAGTTTATCAATTAAAATTATAAACCTGGATGGATTTTGCCGACTCTTCATTTACAGGGTATCGTCAAGTCAGGTCTTACTGTTCGTTAACAAACACTTGTGACTCCTAGTTTATAGTTCTTCTATGCCTAGGTCTAATTCCCGCCTACGCTTTATCGTTTAGCTCATTTACATGCAAAATTTATGCCTGAGATTTTGGGCATGTGTGGAGGAGTTTTTGTAACGCATTTGTTGACATACAAAGAGAAGCAGAAGGTATATAAAAAGCACAGACAAAAAAAAGAAAACAAAATTGAATTGAATTGTTTATTTATGCCAAACAATTCGGGAAAAGGATTGCGGACGGGTACTGCAAAAGGCAAGGGTTACCAACCTGCGTACTCGCACACAGAGAGCGCGACGTCTATTTTAAATGCTCACCCTGACATTTCAAGATTATACTTATATATAAATGTATATACCTCTCCCCACATACACTTTGCCGGCAATTTGTTATGCCACGCATGCTGCTCACTTCTCGTGAGGGGCGTTGGGCGTGGCTGTTTGTAGGTGTGACTGCAGAAAATGTAGCTACAAATGAAGTGAAATAAGCCAAAGCAAAGGCAACCAACAACAGTCGCAAACAGTCATGAGAGCTGGAGCTCCCCTCTCAACTCCAACTTCAATGCCAATTCCAAGCCCCGCACTGTCTCTGCCCCGGGTTAAGTCAAAAATTATGCGTTACTCGAGCTTCAGCTTGGCTTTTGTTGTCATCTCATCGTCATGATGGGCGTGGGCAGCGCTTTGATAAACACGGGGCGTAGTTAGTCAGTTTCCGGCTAACATTTAGCTAGCTCCAGAAACTGCACATGATATAAGCAAAGAACCGGGTGCTTAAGGCGGCGTAAGCTGAGAAATTACGATAATGAAAGGTTTCCCTCTACTATATTTAATTGTGCTCAGTGGAATGCATCTCTAGATTCGTATCTATGTAAGTTCTTTTCGTAATTATTATATTCATAATTTTGTAACTCGTAGATTTTAAATGACATCTGCGTTGGCATCCACCTCCTCGAAGATAAGCTCACGAGCATCCCACATAAAGTGTGAGCACACCTCTAAAATGGTTGAATTTAATGTTTAATTTCAATTTCAACGCCGCTGCGGCTCATAAATTTCGAAAACTACTCATTAAAAGCATTCGAAAATCAAAGCGAATCCAACGCCAACCTCTCACTCTAAGCACGCGTAGCTTTGTCTAGCGTTTGCCAGTTTAGAGTTTTGCATAAATTAAATTAATTTTTTTTCATACTCTAACATTTTGGTTTCATTTTAAAATTCAAACTAAATAACGACGTCATTTGCATACTACCAAAGAGACTATAACAATAGGGGAGGGGTCTCTAGTTTTAGTTAGGGGTGTTTTTGTCGTCGTCATCTATTTCAGCGCCTATGATTAGCATAAAACTTCGCACAGGTTTTTTGTGAATTTGTTAAAAAAAAAACGGGAGAATAATTGCGGCATAAATTGTGGTAAATGTTTACGGCTTTGCTGCGTTTTGTATTTAGTTTTTTCTGAATATATTGGACACAATTCATGGTTTTGGGTTGTCGGGCATTTAAATGATTAAAAAACAAAATATTGCTTATGCTGTCGTTTAAATGTGCATATTTAACAAATATTCATAAGTTGTTCATATTTATTCAAATGAAGAGCCGCCAGTCAAACAACATGTCAAACCAAATGTACGAGTATTCGAAACTTTTTAGGTTCCACGAGGCTTTTTGTAAAACTTTGCCCAACTATCGCTCAGGTCCTGGTCCTGCAGTTTCCGTTGTCACCATGACATGGAATATTTGCACACATCCTGTCCGATTATTCAGCTGTCTGTCGGCCTGTCTGTCAGTGAGTCAACATGCACCTCACTGAGCTTCTGTTTCAAGTTTTGTAATTAAGAAAAGTCATCAAAGTCAACAACACGCTGACTGACTGACTGAGTACCACCCCCTTGGCAACCAACGAACCCGCTCGCTTATTTGTTGTCAACATTATCAGAGCTCCCACTCACGTCTGTGCCCGCCCAGGCCCACTGTTACGTGTATGTCACACTATTCCACTAGGCTGCATACTCGTTCCCATTGGCAACCCATTGAGAGCCCATCACAGCCCCAGTCATTTCCTTTTCGCTTTCATTGTAAAACAAATGTCATGGCTGACGTCTCTCATCTCGTTCCCAGCTCATTCTCATCTCATTCTCATCTAATGCGTTTAATGAAAAAGGTGTTGATTGTTGACAGTTGTCTCTCATAGTCGCGTTGTCGTTGTCTCCAGGCGTTAACTCGAGCCTCGGATTCCACGGCATTTTATCTGTCACTTGACAACAAAGTCAACGGCAAAGTTCGCAGTCAGGAGAGCTGGTAAAAAATATTTGTTTGGTTTTAGTTTGACTTGCGTTGCGAAATTGAAATAAATGGTTTGTTTATATTTTAGTTGATACTGTCTGCTTTGCACACTAAGCCCTGAGGAACTGTCACCTGTAACTTTGTCATTACACAATTGCAAAGGCCAGATTTCAATTACAGTAAAAGTATCACAAAGTTTTCTTCAGGTACAATATCTTTATGCCCTGAACCCGTCAACTAATCTATGAGCAAAAGTCTTGTCAACAAACAACTTAATTTGTTGAGTTCTGTGAATGATTTTATCTTTAACAAAAAATTTATAAATTTTAAATAAATCAAATCTTCTTTATTATTTATCAATTATTATTTATTTGAATGCTTTTACTGCAATTACCTAATGCACCCGGCAGGTGTTTCTCTATTGTGTGCTGATTGAAAATATAAATCCTAGACCAAAAGTGAGTTTAGTTCAAGCAAAGCATTTCAGAGAAAAGTTGTAATTTCCTTTATTATTTAGGTTTTGTTAGAAGGACAACACTTAAATAATTAAATTTGTGAGTTCAGTTTAAATAAATTCACAAGCCATGAATGTATATTAATATTTAGCCAAATGATTTCAGTTTTGTTTGTCCTGCGCAAAGCTTTGCGTGTGGTGTTTTCTGCGCTAATATTAACTCTCGTTAGTTACACAAGAAATTCATTCAACAAACAATCGGATATCATCTAAATTTCATGTATTATCATATGCATAAAAAGCACAACAGCAACACACACCAACACACGCACACACAAAACATTTCCATCATCATCAATGCTGAGAATGGAAAATGAAAATGTCAAGTGGGCGGAACAGACGACGGCCCACTGCAACAGCAAATCTGTGTAGCTAGCGAGGGGCGAAAGTGAAAGCAGCTGCTTCCCCAAATGCAAAATGCAAAATGAGCGCTCAGAAAACATAATCATTATCATAAAAAAAATATGTGGATGTATAGAGCGGGAAAATGAAGTCGGGAAAACTAAGTGGAAATAGGCAACAAAATAATAATTTGCGCAGTGATATGCGTTGCCACGCCCACAAGCAGAGACTGTCTGCCTCTGACAATGCGGGACAAATGACATGCAAGGCAAATTTATTACAAAAGCAAAAGAAAACTGGAGGAAAAACAAGCAGCAGCAGCAACTATGCAAAATTCGTCGCACTGAAAGTGACAATCTTCTCGCACAAGCTCTTCCCGCCCCCCTTCTGGTGTTTGTGTAAGTGTGTGTGTGTGTGTGTGTGTGTCTGATGGATGTAGCTCAACTTTATGACATGCTGCAAGCAACCCACCCGCAGTTTCAATTGTAACTTGACTCCCAACCTCACCACCCCTCCCGTTACCCATTAGAGATCGGACAAATTTGTGCTGCTGACTAAAATATTTCATAGACGTGTACCCTCGCCCCCCATCCAGCCCTCGCCCTAGCATCTCGACCCACTGACTGCCTAGGATACCATTTTTATTTTCCTTTCCGCTCACCCTGCCCAGCTTATAGTATTTTTCTACAGCTAAATAGATATTTTATTCAAATTTTTTTGTTGGCTTTGGGTTTAGTTAGTTTGTTTATTTTTTTGTTCCTTGATAGATGATGGATATGTTAAAATAAAAACTTGCGCATCAAGCAAGAATTCGCTACACCCATAAGGTAACAAATTGAGTTTGAGGTTTAAATATGGCGTTAATTTACATATGTGGAATGAGTAAATGGATTGAAAAGGGTAGGCCAATATGTAAATTTACAATAATTTATACGATGGGCAATATTAAAAGATGATTTATGTCTGAATATCCACAAATTTTGTTGCCTTTTGTGTGTTTTTGGTGATTGCCAAGAACTGTTAGAATCCTTAAATAAATGAACATTAGCTAAATGGATCTAAAAACAGTCTTAAATTGCACAATATTTATAATCCGGCATATCTTTCCTTACTAGTTCATGCTTTTCACCTCCAGTTAACAACTCTTCGATTTAATAAGAACTTGCCATGCCCTCACGCACACGCTCCCCAACCTTCGACCTATCCATCTATGTGAGACTTATGCAATAAGTGCATTTTGAACCACAATGTTTAAGCTTGGCTATGTTTTTCTCAATGCCAGCAACGGGCAATCATGTTTTATGCAACCGACGACGACAAACAAGCCGAAAGGCAAACTACACGCCCACCTGGATGGGCGGCGGGCTAACCAAACAACCATCGGAACGGGACCCCAGGAATATAGCGAGGAGCGAGGGAGTGCCTGGAACAGAAGTTATTCAACTATATTCACAGCAAAGAAGGGGGCTCCGCATATGTTTCGCCAAGTTTATTGAAAAATATGCGCTGACAGGTAATATGTCAATGCGTGGGATTTGCCAAAGTGCCAACGTCGTCTCCGCAGCATCATAATAGACTCGGTGCAGGAGCAGGCGGGGCGGCGGCAGGATCTGTGCCTGGGTAAGGATATGCAAACGCCGGCATCAAGCTGTTCGCTCTTGCTCCCCCCAAGGCATGTTCTTAATCCAAAGAAAATATGGCAGCACTCAGATGAAAACCTTGGCAAACGGCAGCCAGAATAAGCTTAGGTATATGACTGGGTTTAGGGGATGGGTGAGGTTGCGAAGACTGCATTTCTGTCTTGCTCATGATTTATCGCCATCAAATTGAAAATTGAGTGCCTGACATTGTGGCACAGACGAGCGTGCATTAATATTGAAAAGAACAAAAAAGGGATTCGCACTTACCGTAAAAAGACAACTGGCCACACAGATAGCCGCCCAGGAGCCGACCCAATAGCGGAGCACCGTTCGTTCCCGCTCCGGGAAGAACATGGCGTGACATGGTGCGCCGCAATCATGCAGATCCTGTAAAGAAAACCCAATTGAATGGAAATGAGTAAGTGAAGCGGCGCAACGGAAATTAATTTTCTTTGGTGCGTAATTAATTAGACTTATATTTAAGGATTGATGGCATACCTAGATAAACAGCGTGAGGAAAAGAGACAGAGAGAGAGATGGAGAGAAAGAGAGAGAGAGAGAGAATAAAGGATTTGGCTGTGGAATATATAATTGCCACAGGGCAACATTTAATCATTATTTAATTTATCATTTTATTTGTCATAAAAAGCAAATTAAAATTTGTATATTATTGAGTTTTTCTTTATCCATTCATAAAATGATAAAATTGCTTAAAGCAAATTTAAGCTAAATGATATCCTCTCTATTTTGAACCTTTTTTCTCCTTCTTTTGGTCTCTCTTTTTCTCTCTCTATCTCGCTCTCTCTCTCTTTTTTCTCCAGTTTTTTGAGTCTACGGCCACACTTTTATCTCTAATGCTGGAATATCTGTTATAAGTTAATATAAGTTTTTAAGGAGCACAGGGTACCTTCTAGTCAATCACAACTAGAGAAACGGGTTTTGCGTCTATTCAATAAACATTGCGTAAATCAGTAATTTGCTTTAAATTACTTCTTTTAATTATTATGAGTTAACCTAAATATAATAATTAATTGACAATCCAAGCATTTGTATACCGTAAACTAGATGAACAATCTTTACAGATATATTTATATATTTTATGAATAAAATAATTTGATATTTTGTATAGTGCATAAGGTATTAAAATTGCATAAAAATATGCAAATAATAATAAATATCAATTTGCCAAGTTTTTTGGTCAGAGTCCTTTTGGAGGGACCGCTAAAATCTGTTTCCATATCAAATCAGAGTTTTATTACATGCTTTCTTCTTCTTCAAGTTCAAATTCGCATTTCGTCTTGGAGTATAATTTTTATTTTAGCTACTTTGGCCCGAAACTGCAGGCAATTTGAAGGCGCTTCCGCTGTTGCCGAAGTTCCGCCTCTTGCCAAAGCAGTGAAAAGTTTTCTTCTCTTTATACCCTATTAAAAAGTATCATAATTATGGCATGAAATGTGTGACACTTGCATAGGCTGTTGATGCGATATCCATCGAAATAATCTGTTGATATTACTTAAAATATCATGTGGCATTTAAGAAGTTTACAGTTAGCGAAAATATTATATACATTGGACTAGTTCTATATGCAGAACAGGTGAAAATATGCTTTGAAGTGAGAAATCTTCAACAAACTTTCAAGCTTCACAAGTCTCCCCAACATATCTGCAAGCCCGTAAGCCATATATCTACAAGGGTATTTAAATCTCCATATTCTATTCTATTTGTGATGAAATTAATAACTCGGAGAAGCAGATATCGCCGACCCCATTCATCGTCGGAGCCGACGGATCGGACTACTATATCACATATGAACGATCGGATGAAAATTAGGTTCTTGTATTGAAAACTTTTTGTTTTTAAAGATATCTTAACCAGATTGCCATTTACGAGTAAGGCAAATGTTTGCAAGGGTATTAAATCTTCGGTGTGCCGAAGATATCCCAACTTTCTCGTTTATGTTTTTTATGTTATTGCATGTGCCACAAATATGCGTAAATATTGCCAAGTCGTCCATTGCCTCATCCTTCTGGGCTGACTGGCTGGCTGGCTGCCTGCTTATCATTAACATCATTATATAAAATTTGTAGCCGACTGCTGTTGTTGTGTTTTCGCTTATTTGGGGCCTGAGCTCGCGCCAGATAAAACGCGTTTAAGGCGACGCTGACGGCGGGTTCCCCCCTCTGCAAGTCGAACAAAAAAAAAACCCAATTTGCGCCGCTAACCTAACGATGATTGCCCCGAGTGAAGAGCACGGCCCAGTACCAGGGCCAGTATCCATTCAGGCCAGGATCAGCGGGAAGCGCCTTTTAAATTTTTAATGGGAACTTCAAATAATGCGCAGGCCGAAGTCATAAAATTTTGGGGTTGGTCTTTGTCAGAGCTGCTGCAGCTCCTCCCCACTAACTGCTTAGTTTTTGTTTTTCGTTTTGGCCTTGGCTTTAGACCATCCACAGACAGGCAGACATGGTCCCTTGCCTCCCAGCCGCCGTGGGGCTTTGGCTGCATGTGAAATGAGTTCAACGTCGGTTCGTGTCGAGTTGAGTCTGTTGCGGAGAGATGCGTGAGGCAAACATTTGCAGATGTGTCGAGAGATCTGCATCAGATGCAGATACATTTCGTATTCGCCGTTGCCAGTCAAGAATTTTTGCAATGTTTGTTTGCCTTTCTCTCTGAGCGTGTGTGCGTGAGCGAGTGTGTGTGTGTGTATGGCTCTATCTAAAATTCAAATCTCTTGTGGTTTACACACTGCCTTAACATGCGTCGTTGCCGCATTTCACAATGCAATATACGGGGTTGTTTTACAGGATTTCTTTACCAATGTCTATTTGGAGTTCAAGGTTGTGACCGCGGGGTTGGCATCCAAAATAATCTTAATCGTAATATCATTAAATTGCATTCATTGCCCGGCAAGGGCCCGAATAGACTTGACAGGCTGATGAATTGTGTGGGTAGTGCAGGGTATTCAGGGTTGCAACAGCTGCCAAGTTGTACAAAAGTTTTACTAGCTCTTCAGTAAGGTATCTTTAATGAACTCCATAAGACAAACAGACGCCTCTTCTATGGCCAATTAAAGCACTAGAGCTTGTGGCATACAACTTCGTGCGGCAACAGTTAGAACAAAAGCCCAAAAGACAACGTGGCCCAAAGGAGTTACAATGGCCACTACAACAACTACAACAACTAACACACTGACCACAACAAAAGCCTTGGGACTTGCACATTGCATTGTTAGGCCTTCGTCTGCGCTCTCTGCTCACCCCCGCTGTTAACTTCTCTGTCGTCTCTAGGCTGGCCATTGTTTTCGATTTTTATGAGGCATGTATAAATAATTGCGCCCAAAGGCCGCCGACATAAGTTTTCATGCCGGCCGCGTGGACGAACAACAGCAACAACTAAAACGCCAAGCGACTAAACTGGGGCCCGTTGCCCGATGCCACTTGCCACGCCCATTCCCTTGCGCCCTGACAAGGCCCTGGCGTCGCCGGGCAGTGCAACAAAATATTTTCCTTCTTTTTGGCTGCCGGCTACAAATGAAATAAAAAATGGCAGCTGGCTGCAAGTATGAACAGCATTTAAGGAGTTTTTAATTTATTATAAATAAATTTTATGCCCGGCAAGCTACGGCTAGACGGGAGCAGGTGAGAGGGAGGCAGGATGGACCGAAGGCTGCTAGTTGGAATATTGGGGGCGTGTTGATGATGGGCAGCCTGCAAATTATTATGACTAAAGTCGAGAGTCAACGCTAAGAATGAAACAAAGCAAAGGCGAACGCACACTGACACGAGATGCGTCAGATAAGTGTTAAAAATATTAAACGGAAAATTGCCTCAATAAATTGTGAGGGGCATTAATCAATTTTAAGGGTATCAGAAAGAATATTTACAATGTGTATCACAATATGTACGCTTAAATTTGTTGAGATACAAATTTAAACAATAAATATAAATTTGAAACAATGAATATTTTTATAAAAATATTTTACATATTTTCAATTTTCAGGTTTTCAACTGCCATTATGTTAACTAATTTTAATCAAATAAAATTTCACTGGAAAAAATAATTGAATTCTTGTATTCATTTCCAAATCTCGAGCAGCTACTCTCAGACTCATTATATTAGCCGTGGCAAACGAATTTATGTACTTCACAATACTTCAGATATTCCAAGGAAAATAAGAACATTAGAGATACATTTAAGAAACGTGTGACAGTTAGCCAAAAAAGTGTTAATGGCACAAGCTCTGACAGTTTTAGAAGTCGCACGAACGTTTTTCGAAGCAATTAAGATAAAATATCTTTATGCCAGACTATGTGGTCATAAAATTTTCATTCTATGAAAACTCTAAGCACACATAAAAAAGAAGAAAATAATAAGAAGAAGCTACACACAACAAGTTGCTCTGAAAGTTTGAATCCCAGTGTACGCAAAAAACTTTATCCGCAGAGAGTTTAGCTGGAGGCTTCAGCCACATATTCATCATCCACCAGAGCCAGAGCCAGAGTCAGAGTCAGAGCCAAAGCCATAGACAACCCTCGACAGCGTTAATGATAGCTTCGACTGTGTGTACGTGTGTGTGTGTGTGTATGTGTGTGTGTTTTTGGGGGTGTTGCTGACGTTGTTAAAGTCAAAATAGGCAGACAGACAGGCTAGCGGGCGGGCGGTCGGTTGGCAGAAGCAGCAGAGACCGAAGGGCAAAAGATCTAAAGCATTGAGCGGACATTCCCAATGTGCAATTTGATTGTCCTAAGGGTTGATTTTTGGGACGCATGATGTCTGCAGGAGAGGATGGGCCTGTCTTCCAGCCTGCTGTTATGTTGCTTGTGTGTGCATGTTGTTCTTCCTGCTGCCATGCCTGATGTCTGGCATGTCCTTGGGGGCGCCGCTGTGTCGCACTTGAGCACAACTGGCAAGGACAACAGGAAACAGCCCGTGCTGACAACAAAACATGCATTCGAGCATTGTATAAATTTTCAAAAAATTGATATTCAATAACGCGACCGGAACGAGCACAAAGTCAAGAAGACGACAACGAGCACAACAACAACATCCAGTCATAACAGGCAATTTTGCGCAGGAAGCGGCAAGAGCAGCAGAATATGCAGGACTCGAACCCGCTGTGCCCAGGGTTCAATGCGAGGCGACAAAGTGTTAAACGCGGTTGACCAAAACAGCAACTAAAACAAGAACACAGAACCGAAATCAAAAACGCTACTCATAATTTATTAATATTATCCGATGGGTCGCGAACCCTCAAGCCCAAAAATGGAAAACGAAAAACCACAGGCCCGTAAGCTCGAAGACAAAGTTCGGGGGCCGCACAAATTACACATGTCGACACTTTATTAAGGACACTCTGAATCGAACTGAAGCTGGGCCTATGCCTGTGC